ATTATTATTATTATTATTATTATTATTATTATTATTATTATTATTATTATTATTATTATTTCATGTCTGGATACTCAAGTTGGATTTGTTTGAATGTGACATTTTGTTTCTCTTCCAGAGAAGATATCTGAGAGCTTCTTCAGAGGAGGAAATCTTTGCTCATCTCGGCCTCGAGTACATCCCTCCATCAGAGAGAAACGCCTGACGAGTTCCTGCACAAGGAACCATCTGATGACTGTAAGCAGCAGACAACCACTGGAAGCAAAAACACAAAGTGTTACCTCGGGCGCTTGTGGCTAGAGATGCACGATATTGGACTTTTGGCTGAGATCCGATATGTTAAAATGCATAGACATTATATAGACACTAGACGCCTCGAAGACTGGTGCTGCCTATTGGAGCTGCCGTATCAGCGCAGCCGCCATCTTGAATGGGTCTCTCATGCCCCCCCGTGCATTATTTTATACTGGGGAAGCTGTATGCCTAACTAAAATAATCATAACTCCCCAAATTTTTACCCAATTTTCACACGGTTTGGTTTGTTACAAACAGCAGGGATGCAGTTATGATACAGGATGCTTTCACGCATTAAAAATACGTACTTTCATTCTGAAATACTTTGTTTTATGCTCTTTAACAAGGACAGACATATGATATGGCTTATTAATAAATGTCTATATATATATTGGGAATTGTTGCTGATTGGCAGCTGTTCAAATACTTATTTGCAGCAGTAACACACAAATACATTAATAAAAAAAAATCATACATTGTGATTTCCTGATTTTTTTTTTTTAGATTATGTCTCTCACAGTGGAAATGCACCCAAGATGAAAATTCCAGACCCCTCCATGATCTCTTAAGTGGGAAAACTTGCAAAGTTGCAGGGTGTTCAAATACTTATTTTCCTCATTGTGTGTATATATATATATATATATATATATATATGTATATATACACACACTGTGTATGTATATATATATATATATATATATACACACACACACACACACACACACACACACACACACACACTGTGTGTGTGTGTATATATATATATATATATATATACACACACACACACACACATACACACACTGTGTATGTGTGTATGTATATATATATATATATATACACACACACACATACACACACACTGTGTATGTATACAGACCCTTTCCAAAAAATTTGAATATCATGGAAAAGTTGTATCTTCCATAATTCTATTCAAAAAGTTAATCTTTAATAGATGATAGATTCAGGGCCAACAATTTAAATGATTTCAAGTATTTATTTGTTTATTTTTACATAATTTGAGCTTCCAGCTCATGAAACCCATGAAAACAGGATTTCAAAAAAAATTGAATTCAGTGAACACATCAGCCCACACTTCTCAGTTTTTGCAGGAAAAAAATAAATAAATTAGGATCACAACAAATCAATCAAAATATGGTATTTTCACAACAATATGTCAATCTTCAATACTTGGTTGGGAATCTCTTTTTCTTAATCACTGCCTCGATGCAACGTGTCATTGAGTCAATCAGCCTGTGGCATGGACTGGGAGTTATGGAAGCCCAGATTTCCTTGATGCTGTCAGCTCTTCTTTGTTTTTGGGTCTGGTGCTCCTCATGTTCCTCTTGAGAATACTCCATAGATTCTCAATGGGGTTTAGGTCCGATGAGTTGTCTGGCCAGTCAAGCACTGTGGGCATCAAACCAGGTTCTGGTGCTTCTGGTGGCATGGGCAGGGGCCAGGTCCTGCTGGAAGATGAAATCTGCATCTCCATACAGATCCTCAGCAGAAGGAATCATGAAGTCCTCTAAACATTCTGGTAGACAGTTGTGGTGACCTTGGATTTAAGAAAACACAGTTTACCAACACCTGCACCGGACATTGCACCCCAAATCATGACTGACTGGATATGTCACACTGAACCTCAAGCAGTATGGGTTCTGTTCCTCACCCTTCTTCCTCCAAACCCTTGGACCTTGATTTCCAAATGAAAGACACTTTACTTTTATCAGAAAAGAGGACCGAGGAACCCAACAGTTGTACTCCATCTCCTGGATGCATCTGAATGTGGTGGTTTTTGAAGCTGTGACTCCGCCTCCTTCCACTCTTTCTGGATCTCTGCCAGATTCTGGAATCTTCTCTGATTGATGATCTGCTGAAGCCCACGGTCATCTCTGGTGCATCTTCTCCTGCAACATTTTGCCCTTCCCCTAGACTTTCCATTGATATGTTTGGACACAGCACTCTGTGAACAGCCAGCCTCCTTAGCTATGAACTTTTGTGACTTACCCATCCTATGGAGGGTATCAATGATGGTCTTCTGGCCAGTTATGTCTGCAGTCTTCACCATATTGAACCGAACTGAGACATTTGAACCAAACTGAAGCAATTTAATGACATCTGGGGAAACCTGTGCAGGTGCTTTGAGTTTAGTAGATGATTAGTGTCACACTCAGTTTAAAACATTCATGTCCTGCAACATTTGGGCTGATTTCTTCACAGTATTCTAATTTTTTGAAATCCTGTTTTTGTGGGTTTCATGAGCTGGAAGCCCAAATTATGTAAAAAATAAACAAATGAACACTTGAAATCATTTAAATTGTTTGCCCTGAATCTATCATCTATTAAATAATAAAATTTTGAATGGAATTGTGGATGTTAAACAACTTTTCCATGATATTCTAATTTTTTGGAAAGGGTCTGTATATCTGTGTAACCTGTCCTGAAAATCTGACCTTCAAGTGAAATACCAGTTAAAAATCTGATGTATTCGAGTGTGGCCCCTTTTGAGTAAGTGAGATAAAGTGAGAATATTTTTCTCCAACACATCGAAATCCTAAACGCATAAAAAAACTCCCACACACATGACAGGATAGCATTCATTCAAATGCCGTAAGATCATTTACTATAATCAAGTCAAGATCCACAAATAAAGGCAGAGGACTGTTTAGCTCTTCCACAGGGATGAAATAAAGCAAGTATCGTTGTTTAACTGGGACAGTTTCAGTCCACTCAGGTCTTCACAGAAGATGCAGTTTACAGAACTTTTAATAAAATAACACCACTCCTCCCAGTGCAGCTCTATGTCGATAACTCTCCGCTGTTCGTACACTAACCCACTGAGTGGACAACTCTGGCCTAATATATGTTTTTGCACGAGACAGATGTTTGCAAACTGATCAGTGTTCTCCCACTTCAACACATATTTATTTATTATTGAATGATGATAAGTTTTTGGTTTCTTGTCAGAAGTGTTTGCTTATTCAAAGATTGTAAAGTTAGAGTTTTACTAACATCAAAACGACGGTCCCAGTTTGAAGTTTTTCATGGTCTCCACATGTTATTGTTGGCAATGATTTTATAATTATTCATCTTTATTTAACCAGACGAATCCCACTGAGGTCACAGATCTCTGGACTGGTCCCTGGCTTTCTGTCATTGTTCTGTATTCTCACCCTGTTCTTGAGGGCCACACTTGAGATCCTCTGGATCTGGACCTTTTCTCTCTCCTTCCATGACACTTTAAAATTATTTGACCCATGGACTGATAGTTTTCTGTGCTTTATGTGACTAAACCTTCAGATAAACAGGAACATAATCATTTTAGTGATTTTTTTTGCATTGGAAATAAAAATGTTGATAGGGCCCCAAAAGTAGCTTTGGGTCAAGGACCAACACCCTCCTTAATCCTGCCTTGTGCAAGAGATCTTTGTGGTTAACAAACCCCTTTAACCCTTAAAGCATGCATGCCTTGAGGGAAGAGAGCCTTTATTTAACTTAATTAATTCGTCTGTTGTGAAATTTCCAGTTTTACTGCAGCTCTGTTTTATATCCTGTCGACTTGGAGTTCGGTTGTTGTGGTTGCAGCTTGAGCGTCTGTTCTTGTGATTCTCTACAGCTCGTTTGAAACAGTTAAAGGTAAAAGGAACATGTCACTCCGTGGCTGTCCCCACAAACACACCTGTGTCTCACCTGCGTCCTCCTCACGTCATCAAAACTCAGTACTAGAAGAGTACTATGTAAGTTTGAGGTTCTATACTTTGCTGCTTTTAGCTTCTCTTCTTGTTTGAACTTTCCCCACTTCCATGTCAGCCTCTTCAGCAGCGTTCAGCAGTGAGCATTCACTGCATTTTCACAACTTTACTGTCGAGGCTTATAAGGAAATCTTCAGCTAATATCTTCAGGTGTGCTGCGACATCACACGGCCTTCAGAGAATGTCACAATCTATCTCGGGGCTGTGTCAGATCAGATGAAGGCAGTCGCAATGCCTGTTGATCCACCAGGACTAGTCTCACTGGCCCCTTCAAAGCCCAGGGAGCCTTTGATGAGTCTGATAGGAATCAATGGAACAGGGGAAGAGGTCCTAACTGACGGCTACAGACGGGGCGGGCAACTGCTGGAGACTGCAGCCCCTGGAGATCAATGATTATTAGGCGTCATCACCGCCTTGATGTGCATGCAGGAATCCTTTCAGCATCAAAGAGACTCATTCTAACAGAAGGCATGTTGGGAGCTGCACTACACCCTTCTGCTTACTGGGAGTCATTTTTATTAGCAGGAAATGCAACAGATGTGTGAATGTAAAGGAGTGCTTTACATTTAGCTGAAAGTTAAATTGGGTTTCTTTTTCAGAAACAGATCCTGTCTAACTCTGAATGTTAGGAAACGCCTTGTATCTGTGACTTTCTTCCCTCCATTGGTTACGGTGACATTATTTACATGAACGCTCCTACAAGAACCCTGCAGATGTTGGATGCTGCAGATGTTGGATGCTGTCTATCATGGTGCATTAAGATTCATAACTGGCTGTGATTATCGTACCCACCACTGCACCCTGTATTCACTGGTTAACTGGTCATCATTAACTTCACGCAGACTCTCTCACTGGTACATTTTCATCTTTAAATCACTTCTTGGTCTGCTGCCTTCATACATCTCCTCCTACATGTCTCTACGTGAGTGCAGCTACAGCGTGCGCTCTCAGGACATTATTACCTGCAGTGTTCCCTCAGTGAGGACTGAACTAGACAAAGGGCCTTCTCCTACTCTGCTCCTGTTTCCTGGAATATCTTGCTTGAAGCTCTCGACCTTGACCTCTTTAAATGGCTTCAAACATTTGCTAAGTTCATAAACCAATGCAGACATGTTCTTGCTTTTAGTTTTCTACATCGCCTTACACCGCCAAATACGGTGA